AAAGGGCTACTTCTTTCAATGAAGGGAATCTATGACACATCATCGTCAGGAAGATTGGCAGCAGCCTAGAACAGTGGCACATGCCTCTAAGTCTCACTTGAGAAGCTGCGGCAGGCAGACTGGCAGGAACAAGACAGCCTCACAAAGAGACTTTCTTTGCCTGAAAGAACAACTACACAGAAAACCTAGAGCAGAAAGGCAGACTCCTGCAGCCATTTTGAGTGTGGCTAGGATTGTTCTTACTGCAAGACCATGAGAAGAAACTCTAGCCTGACAGACTTGCCCACTCACCTCCATCCGGGACAGTAAGGTCTGTATATCTCTGATCATGTGCTGAGCCATCACCAGCCGTACCCGGGGCTCACTCTGTAATATAAGGAGGATGATCAGGGCAGGTCTGAGACGAAGCCATGAGCTCCACAACATACTACAACAGCTCCCAGGCATCTCCTCAGCCAGGTCCTCCCCCACCTTATGGCCTCCTTCTCCCAGATCCCCTTCCCTGACCCTCCCAGGCCCCTGAATACCTGAATTGGGGCCTGTTCCATGTTGATGTGAACATCCACAGCAGAGCCGTCACTCTGGGGAAAGGGTAAGGGAAGTTGCTCTGGGAGAAGCCACATACTAAGGCCTCCATACTGCCAATTCCTTTTCTAGAGCCCCTACCCTCTTTTCCTCAAAAACTGAGGCCAGTATAGGTCAGAGGGTTTCCCAAACTCCAGGCAAGAACTCAAGACACCCAAGAACTCTACGCTCCCTGCAGCTGCCCTAACAAAAGCTCCTCTTCCCAACAAAACCCTCCCACATGACAAACACAGGCTCACAGGGAGATTGAAGGTTCCAACCATGACATAGCTGTTGGCATTCCGGTCATGAACAGAGGCCCCAGGCCCCCGAGTGCCAGGCAGGGGTGCCCCACCATGAGTAGCTGAGGCAGACCCTGTCCCAGAAGATGCTCCAGAAGGGAGCTGAGTCTGAGGAGGAGCCCGTTCCACCAGGTGGATAACCTTTCCCCCAACATCTGCAGAAAAAGAGATGCACACCAAAACTTGTAAGTAGGTAAACCCATGGCCTCCAAACAACAACCTTAACCTCGAGCAGCTCCCCCAGTCTCTTACTGTATTCCTGGAGCTTCTTATCATCTTGCAGAACCCGGCCCTGGTATATGAGCCGTTGTTTCTCGGAAGGGATGCTGACAGAGGCAGCAATATGCTCCTTAAACTCCTTTACGTTCATCTGAAAGGAGAGCCATGAGTTGGAATCAGAAAACGAAGGAAAGAGCTAAGTGGGATGCCTGACTTCAGGGGACAAGTGAGGTCAGCATCAAACAGTGTCACTAGCCAACTGCATCAACAGGCAGGTGTTTATGCAGCCAAAAACGAAACAAACAAAAACCCCAAACAGACAATAAACAAAGCTGGGTGAAAGGGGTGAGAGAGAAAACACCACTAAGAAATAAAAAAGGCAGGCTGGAGAAATGGCTCAGTGGTTAACGCTAACACTGTTCTTGCCCAGGACCTACCTCAGTTCCATTTCCAGCACCCATATTGGGCAGCAGCTCACAACTACTGGTAAATCCAGCTCCAGGGGACCCAGTGTCTCTGCACTCTATGAGCACTTGTACTCACAGGCACACACACACCACGCCCCCCCACACAAACCAATACATGATTAAAAATAAGAGGGGAGTGGTGGTGTATGCCTCCAGCACTCGTGAGGCAGAGGCAGGTGGAGCTTTTGAGTTTGAGGCCATGCTAGTCTACACAGTAAGTTCCAAGACAGCCAGCTGTGTAGAGAGACTCTGTCTCCTAAAAAATCCAAATAGAAACCATAATAATAACAACAGTAAACAAAATAAAAATAAATCTTACAAGAAAAAGCCAAACAGCTCTCCTTTTCTCCTTCTTGGCTTAGTATCTAGAGATACTGGTGATGCTTTTCTAAATATAAAAAACGTACCAGGAGCTCATGGCCGTAATCTCAAAGCTAAAAACAGGTGGGCATTGAGGCAAAAGCCTCTAATCGCATGGAGATAGAAGCAGGTGGATCTCTGTGACTACCAGGCCAGCCATGACTACAAAGTGAGACCCTGACTTAAAATACAAAATACAAAAAGAGGTTAAGAACACTTGTTGCTCTTGCACAGGACCTGAGTTTAATTCCTAGCACATAGTGGTTTACAACCACCCACACATAACAGAGTAGGGACTATGATTTCCTAACTACCACAACAAGAGGAAAAGGCCACAGGTTACAGGACCTGATGTCCTCTTCTGACCTTTTCGGGCACCAATCACACACATTGGTGCACTTACATACCTGCAGACAAAACGTTCACACATAAAATAAAAATAAAAGCCAGGCATGATGGTACAGTACACGCCTTTAATCCCAGCACAGGAAGATCTCTGTGAGTTTGAGGCCAGCCTGGTCTACAGAGTGAGATCCAGGACAGGCACCAAAACTACACAGAGAAACCCTGTCTCAAAAAAAATAAATACAAAATAAATAAATAAATAAAAATAAATAAAAAGAAGCCAAGCGGTGGTGGTGAACACCTTTAATCCCAGCACACTGTGAGTTCTGCCCAGCCTGGTTTACAGAGCGAGTTCCAGGACAGCCAGAAGTACACAGAGAAACCTATTGGGGGAGAGGGAGATTGACATCCTCCCCCAGAAAAACCATCACCACCAATGGCAAGTATCACCGGGTTGGGAACCAGGAACTAGAAAAATAACTAATGAAGAAGGTAAGGAGGCGGCACAAGGTTACCTACAGTTCAGTAGTAGGTACTTTGTGCAGGTCCTAAGTTCAATGCCCAGCAGGAACTCCCCAAAAAATAAGGGAAGGGGGGGAAGAACCAAAACAAAAGCAGTGTGGCAGCACACACCTGAACCCCCAACCCTGGAGAGCAGAGACAGGAGGATCCAAGACCATCAGTTAAGACATAGTGAACTACTTAATATCCTACCTCAGCTGGCACTGGTGGCGCACGCCTTTAATCCCAGCACTTGGGAGGCAGAGACAGGCGGATCTCTGAGTTCAAGACCAGCCTGGCCTACAGAGTGAGTTCCAGGAAAGCCAGGGCTACAGAGAAACCCTGTCCAAAACAAAAACAAACAAACAAACAAAAAAAAGCAACAAAAAGACCCTACCTCAAAAAGAAAAAAAAAAAAAAAGGCAAAAACAAGTCAGGTATGGTACACACAACCTAAATCTAAACTCTTAGCATAGACAACGGAGGCAAAATGGTCAGGAGGTCAAGGTCAGCCTGAGCTATATGAGACACTGTTTTCCCCCGACCCCCAAAAATAATCTTCCTAATTAGACAATTAACTCTTGGTAAGGGCCAGAATTAATTATCACATACACCTACTCACAAGTGTATGTGGTGTTTTAAATGTTTTTGAAAACCACGAAAATGACCAACTCACGATTTTTTTTTTCTCAAAGAATTATGCAGTAAAAACGAAGACAACTGTGTCCACACTGCACTTTATAACATTGAGATTCAAACTGTGCCTCAGATATTGGCAATTCTACTTAACAGTGTATGAAAGCAGCTTCCTAGAATCTATAAATAGAGTATAAACCTGTGAACAAGTTGTTAAAAAAAGAACAAACACACCATATTTGTCTGAGGTCTCTGTGCTATTTCCGGTCCCAAAGGCCGGCCGGAGTCTTGTCTGTCCCTTTGGGCTGAGGTCCGCCCAGGATAGGTATAGATTCCTCCTCTGCATTTCCCTCCTCACTGAGTTCCATCAAGGTGGAAGACAGGCAGAACGAAATCTGCCTCACTCCACAGTAACCACCTCCTCACTCAGAAAGAACCTCGGATGTTCTATCCAGGAAGGGACAAAGAGGAGTCAATGACCAGAAAGCCAGGCTCATCCCTTGGAAGACCATCGAGCCAAAGCGGGTATCGTCGCTACACAGTACCGCTGTCTCTCTCACCTGGGCCCCCACAATAAAAGTCCGAGTCTGAGAGTCCAGGGTCTTCACCAGGACCTCCAGGCTGTCGGGCTCCTCCATAGTGGTACTGGAACTATCACTCGGCTCCATGGCCGACAGCTCTCTAAGGAAGAACGAGGGGGGAGGTTCGCTGTCGCCCGCACTCTATTTCATACACCCGGAAGACTCTCTGGGCCCAATCTCCGCCCCGATCCCTTAAAAGTCTCTCATACACAAGCACGTATATTCATCCTCGACCCCATCCCTCCTTTTTGGTTCCGAGACACAGGAAGAGAAACACAAAGGGCAGGAGATGGACGGCATAGGGAGGTGAAGGACGAGGGGTGGGAGGGGCTCCACAATGCCAATCACAATAGGGAGAGCCAGTTGGGCTGGGAATCGGGCAAGCAAGCACGAGACCGACCAGAGACCAGTGTCATCACCGGTCGCGACCGAGCAAGGGCCCGAGAGATCGGGAAATCCCAGGACGACGCGAGGGGGGGAGGGTCGCGCCGGACTCGGCCCAGAGAGTGGCTCCGCGCACGCGCGCCACCACGCTCGAACCCGCCTAAATCACCACGGCCCCAAGACCGCAGACACTCACGGGAGCCTGGACCGGCTCGCTGACCGCCCCTCCTTCCGCCTCCGCCTTCCGCCGTCGGTGTTCCAGCAACGCGACTGAACCAACACGCGGCCAAACACATACAAACACACACACACACACACACACAGCCCACCACCCTGTGGCTCCGCCCCCGACTTCCCCACGGTACCGTCACTTCCGGCCTCCCCCAACCTGGCACCACCAAAGGCCACTTCCGTTTCCCCGATAGTATTTGGGGATCTCGAGGCGGTACTTCCGGCTTCCCCAGGCTCCCCCAATTGACTTTCGTGGGGCACGATGAGAAAGTCCACAGCCCCGAACAGTGAGTTTCTGGGGGGCGAGACGGGCCGGGGTCGGCCTAGATGGGAGGGAGCCGACCACCCCGAGGAGCCGCCGCCGCCGTCGCCCGGGGGACCGCACTGCGCCTGCGTGAGCCGCGGTACGCGTGCGCACACTTTAAGTACTTCCCCGCCCCCCTCGGGCCGTGTGCGTTGCTTCCCTGCGCGCGCCGGCGCGCTACACGACCAAGGTGGCTACTGTAACGCCTGGGGAAAAAAAATTACTGAGCGGCATGCTGCCCCTACCCCGAGGCGCTGCGGACGCTGTCGGGGATTTGTGGGGATTACACCGCGTTAGTCTACAGTCGCGGTTTGACGGGCCAAGAAAATTTACAGGCACGGTCCTAGCCACCTAAAGTTCTGCAAGGCCTCTGGTCCTCTTGTCACGCCTGCGCTTCCGGAAGCCACTTTTCCCCCCGGACGGTTGGGGGCGTGCCGGAGGCTGTGTTCGCTCCCACCGGCGTCCCTGCTCCTGGCCGGATCAGGGCGGTTGGGCGTTTTGCAGACTCTCGGGGCGTCATATAGGCCTTTGGTTGAGAGCACCGAGGGAACTCAATGTTTTAGGACAACTAAGCATTTTACTGCTTTTTAAAATTTGTGAATAAAGGAAAACGGAGCCCGGCGTGGCGGCGCCCGCCTTTAATCCCAGCACTCGGGAGGCAGAGGCAGGCGTCTCCGTGAGTCCACCACAGCCAGGGCTACACAGAGAAACCCTCGAAAAAAGAAGACAAAAAACGGGGGTCTTGGGGGTCGGATTAAAGGACAAGAGAAGGGAGCGAAGGCTCGCCGCCGGGGGAGGTGCACAGGGCGGGACGGTTACAATTCTCTGCCGCCTTCACCACTTCACGTAGATGCCAGTACCGATGAGCGTTCCAGTAAGCGCTGTTCAGCGAGCGATTACTTTGTGTCAGCTTGTGTGATGAGACTTCTACATCCTATCTCACTGTGTTGCCCTGAATTGCCTAGAACTCATAATCCCGCCCAGTGCTGGTTTTAAAGTCGTATGGCACCCTGCCAGACTATACCAGACTACATTTATTTACGTTTTTCGAGACAGAGTTTCACTATGTAGGTCTGGCTGTCCTGGAATTCAGAGAGATCCACCTGACTGTCTCCTGAATGCTGGGATTAAATAATTTTTTAAAATTTCAACACTTTTTTTTTTTTTCCAGAACTGAGGGCCGAACCCAGAGCCTTGCCTTGCGCTTGCTAGGCAAGAGCTAAATCCCCAACCCCGTTCAACACTTTTTTGGGGGCGGGCTGTGTACCTTGCATTTGCCAGAGCGTAGCGTAAGTGTGGAGAAACGTGTTGGTGTCTTCTATCCACTATGGGGATGGGGGATCAAAATCAGGTCCTCAGGTTTGGCTTGGTATCTCTTTACCCAAACCTACATTTTAGTTTTTTATTATGAAGATTTCAAGGGCTTGAGTGGTAGGGCACTTGCCTGGCAAGCCCAAGCCTTAAGTTTGCTCCCTTGCTCCCACATACACATCCCAGAGTAATCATGCCTACTACCATCCTCATTTTTTGTGATTGTTTTGAAGCAAGATAGTATTAGGTATGTAACCAAGGGTGGCCTGAATGGCAGTTGAAGGGACTCTGGCCAGCTTGAGTATGGAGAGCATGGCTCTGGCAGGCCTTGCCCTTCTCTCTCATTCTTTGCCTTGCTAAAAAACAGACCACATTCCTAAAGCTAGTCACCAATGTCTATCCCCTTTGGCCACTTCCTCCTGAGGCTGACTACCAAGGACCAGCTATCAAAGTATTGAAGTCCAGCAATCAAAAGCCCCCTTAATTAACATGTCCAGTCAAAATTAAACACCTCATCCTAACACGGGGTTTCCCTTTTTACCTTTATAAACCGCCATTTTCCTATGTGCCATATCTGTCTCCTCTCCATCCAGAGGCGGTCCTCTGTAACATACCAGGACAAATATCCCTGCCCCTCTCCCTTGTTCCCTTCCCCTTCTCCCTCTTCCTCTGTCTCCTGTCTTTGTCTCTTATTCCCTGCCCTCTGTCCCTCTGGGGCAAATAAATCTCCTTGTGCTGAGAGCTTGGCTTTAGGGGTCCTGAGCTGATATTTTTTCCTTTCAGCACTCCTCCTTCCTCAGCCTTCCCAGTACTGAAGACCTGCACCATCATCCCTTGAAATAAATCACAACCCCTTAGCAAGTCTCACTTCTCAGGAGACTTGTGTTTAAAGAAAAGTTGGAGTTTATTTTTATATATATTTAAGCACGGGCCTTAAGGCAGACACTTGGAAAGATGGTATACACCCAAGACACAGCGGCAGGCTTCTCAAGAATCCCAAAATTTTTGTGGCAGTCCACAGATTTACGTAAAAAAGTCCCACCTCTCTTTGCATTGACAGCTCCACACACTAAGACTATCCAGTGACTGTCTCTGGACACTACATTTAAATCTTGACAATCTAGCAAAATTATTACCAGCAATTGCAGTGGGTGTTTTGCAGTTACTAATGATAGTGGATATTTACTTCTGACTTGATGTGACATGATCTCATCTAACTCTGAGATTACTGAGTTGCCCATTCCACAGGTGGAAAAAGAGAGATTAATACAGTTGTCCCAGGAGGCTGGGGATGTGGATCATTGGTACTACTGTGCATGTGAGCATGCCTGGTATGCATGAAGTTCTAAGTTTGATCCCCAGCATCAAGAGGGAAAAAAAGTGTCCCTAGCCCAGGGGTGGTGGTGGTGATGGTGGCGGTGGCACATGCTTTTAGTAGAGCCAGACAGATCTCTGTGAGTCCAGCCTGGTCTACAGAGTGAATTCCAGGACAGGCAGAGCTACATATTGAGACTCTGTCTTGAAAAAAACAAAAAGAAAAAAAGGAAAGAGAAATCCACCATGCCCCAGCGACTGACTGGTGCCTGTTCTAACACTTATCAACTTGTATTGCAATGGTTTGTTTGTAAAGCTGTTTTTCCGTTGTTTTAAAAAAAAAAAAAAATGTCCCCCAGGATTAGCCAGTTCCTGGCAAACAACTGAAATCCCCAAATTTGCCAAGTGAATGAATGAAAGACCTAATAATGAAGTCACTTTTCCTCGGTGCTTCACAACACAGCAGAGCTCCAATTCAGATACAGATACAGGTTTCTACTGTAGGGCTCAGCTCTCCTCTGAACGCCTCAGAGTCGCTGGACATGCAGGGTACACTGTAGAGTGGTTGCATCCGGAAGAGCGGGGGAGGCCCCAGTGCTGTGGCTAATCCATGCTTGGGTTGGAAAACAAGGTTGAAGTTACTTATTAGCAGGTAAAAAGGTCAAGGGTCGACGCAAGGGGGCTGAAAGCAGAGTGGACTGAGCCGCCAGGCCAGCAGAGACCAGTTAAGGCAGAAGTCCCTCTCCTGCAAGCACCAGCTCTCTCCTGCCTGAGATGTTCCACCAAGTCTGGGCAGCTGTGCTCTACCTCTATGGCCTTCTCTTTAGCTCCATGACCCAGTGCCCTGAGCACAATCAGCTAACAGCGCTGGAAGTGGGCGAGAAGGAGGTATGGACTGGGGAAGGGGAAAGCCAGTAGTGGACGCGGAAAGTCGTGGGTGGGCAGCTCAAGATGACCAGCAAGCGTGTCGGGAAAGGAGGGGAGGAAGGGGGTGTGTGGAAACAGCAACAACCACCAGCACCTCCTGGCCCTGAATCTTGGTCCACTGACTGATGGAGAGGCTCTCTGGGTTTTGCGACGGACCTGCTAATTCATTCTTTTGCTCGCTCGTCCAGTCCCCAGAGCCCCACCTGGGCCTGTGGTACTTCATCGCAGGAGCAGCCCCCACCAAGGAAGAGTTGGCTACTTTTGACTCCGTGGACAACATTGTCTTCAACATGGCGACCGGCTCTGCCCCAAGGCAGCTCCAGCTTCGCGCCGCCATCCGCACGTGAGTGGTGAGGAGGCAGAGGCACCACTGGGTGTGTTCTCTGCCCGAACTGTAAGCAATCACCCCACCCAGACTCGAGCTCCATCACTCCTTGCCCACTGAACTCAACAGCTTACAAGTCACTTTCTGCTGATAGGATGGACCTAGCTATCCCAAAGAGCTGGGGTGTGGGAAAGGGTAAGAGAAAAATAAGTAAAGGTGGCAGCGTGTGCCTGGAATGACACTCCATCTTTCTACCTTGCTACCACCACCTCTGCAGGAAAAATGGGGTCTGTGTGCCCCGGAAATGGATATACCACTTGACTGAGGGGAAAGGAAACACAGATCTCAGAACTGAAGGTTGGTTCCCACCAGCCCTCCCCTTCTCTACTCTCCCTGAGCTGTTACCCCCTCAGAAGTGAGGATTGAACCTGGGACCTCTGGCATGCTAGGGAAGCAGGCCATCACTGAACTATATCCCCAGACCCTTTTCCAACCTTTCGTTGCCCTGATGGTTGAACTCACCCTATAGCCCAGGCAGGCCTTGAATGTGAAATCCTCCTGCCTCAGCTTCCTGAGCAGCTGGGATCATGGCCCTGCACTACTAGGCCCGACTCAGCTTGGTTTTGCGTCTGTCCTCTCATGTTCCTGACAGGCCGGCCTGACATGAGAACAGACCTCTTCTCCAGCTCATGCCCAGGGGGAATCATGCTGAAAGAGATGGGCCAGGGTTACCAGCGCTTTCTCCTCTACAGTGAGTGGTGGTACAAAGCGGGAGTGCCCAGGGAGACTGGAAGGCTAAAGGACCCCTTTCAAAGCAGGATGGGCATCTTTACCAGGTCCTTTGGGAATTGGTGGGCAGAGCTGAGAAGCAGGAATGTTGACCAGCCCGGCTGCTCCCTGTCCTTCCAGATCGATCACCACACCCTCCAGAGAAATGTGTGGAGGAATTCCAGTCTCTGGCCTCCTGCTTGGACTTCAGAGCCTTCTTAGTGACTCCCAGGAATCAAGGTGAGGGGTCGAAGTCTCCCAGGAGAGGTCTGGGAGTCACCACTCCCAAGTCTTCTGTGGGTATTGTAAAGAGCTCAGTGCAATGTCAGCAGAGGCCGTGGCCATAGGCAGACATTATCAGAATGGGTACATTGACCCCTCTAATTTTCATGGACTAGAATGGCACCAGGATTGGATAAGAGCTGTGGAGTCACCAAGGAGGGCTCTGGGTGACTCGAAAGAGGCTTTTGGGGGCTGGAGAGATGGCTCAGAGGTTAAGAGCACTGGCTTTTCTTCCAGAGGTCCTGAGTTCAATTCCCAGCACCCACATGGTGGCTCACAACCATCTATCATGGGATCTGATTCCCTCTTTTGGCATAAAGGTGTACATGCAGATAGAGCACTCATATACATAAAATAAATAAATCTTTTTTTTTTAAAGAGGCTTTTGGTCAGTAGTGGCACACACTTGTAATCTCGGTACTCAGGTGGCGGAGGTAGAAGAATTGCCTTAAGTTTGAAGCCAACCTGTTCTACATAGTTAGTTTCAGGACAGCTAGGGCAATATATCGAGACCGTCTCTCAAAACTAAAAATTCACAGGCCGGGCGGTGGTGGCGCACGCCTTTAATCCCAGCACTCGGGAGGCAGAGCCAGGCGGATCTCTGTGAGTTCGAGGCCAGCCTGGGCTACCAAGTGAGTTCCAGGAAAAGGCGCAAAGCTACACAGAGAAACCCTGTCTCGAAAAACCAAAAAAAAAAAAAAAAAAACTAAAAATTCGGCCGGGCGGTGGTGGCGCATGCCTTTAATCCCAGCACTTGGGAGGCAGAGCCAGGTGGATCTCTGCGAGTTCGAGGCCAGCCTGGACTACCAAGTGAGTTCCAGGAAAGGCGCAAAGCTACACAGAGAAACCCTGTCTCGAAAAACCAAAAAAAAAAACCTAAAAATTCTCTGAGTCCTTTTTTCTTATTCCGGTTTTTCAAGACAGAGTTTCCCTGTCTTGCGCCTTTCCTGGAACTCACTCTGTAGACCAGGCTGGCCTCAAACTCACATAGATCCGCCTGGCTCTGCCTCCCGAGTGCTGGGATTAAAGGTGTGCGCCACCACCGCCTGACAGGTCTCCGAGTCTTTAGAGCAGTGGTTCTCAACCTCCCTAAGGCTGTGACCCTTTAATACAGTTCTTCATGTTGTGGTGACCTCCAGCCGTAAAATTATTTTGTTGCCACTTGGTAACTGTAACTTTGCTATTGTTGTGAATCATAATGTAAATACCTGATATGCAGGATATCTGATATTTGACCCCTGTGAAACAGTTATTCAACACCCTCCCCAAAGGGTCACAACCCACAGGTTGAGAACCACTGCTTTAGAGACTATAGGGAGGAAAGGGCCAGGTATAGACAGAAGGGTCTCTTTCCCTGCTCCATACCCACTACCTGGACTTTCTTTCCAACCTCTCATCCTCTCCCTCCTCCCCTCACAGAGGCCTGCCAGCTGTCAGCAAGTGACCCGTAACTTCATCTGTGTCCCAGACAGCCAAGGTGGGAGCTGAGCTGCGAGGGGAGACGTTGGAGACTCTCCACTCCCTGTCAAGGTTAATAAAGATGGTTTTTCAATCCTCATCTCCTGGATTTTGTCTGCAGACATCAGTCACTTCTCCCCCAGGACGGAACCTCTACCACCTAACACCCCCAGCTGTTTGGCATCAGGAAGGACACCGAGCAACACCTCTCACATTGTACTGGTATATTTAGGATTTAGTGTCGCACATTTATTGCTGAGTGAACAAATCCCTAGCCTGAGTGGAGATGGCAGGCACTGTGCCCACTGCCCGTCAGAACCCTTCTGAACTGGTCCTTGGGCCAATGTGGCCTGCACCATCCCTGTTTCTTCTGGATCCCACTGAGTACCAGACCCTCCCTGCAGGCACCATAACACCTGTAGCCCCTTCTAGAATCCCAGTTCCTCCTACCTCACAGCCCTACTCTCCTCTAGATGGCTCTGGTCCTAGGATCCAAGGGACTGCATGGATCTCCCTGTCACCTCTTAATGCAGAGATCTCTGTCCTGCCTCTGGCCTGGTCCACCCCTAGGGTTGGAAAGGACCCTTTGGCCTTCATTCTCCACCATTTTTATTTTATTTTGCTCTTAAAAACTGGAGGTGGGGGGAAAATTGGAGGTGGTAATTTAGAAAGAGGTGAATAAACGTAAAAGGAAGAAATAACAGCTGGTGACTCAAATGGTGATGCCCCATCATGGTCCATTATTGGACCCTAAACAGCCCCATCTGTCATCTGACGGGCTCCCGTGCCTTTCCTGAGTCTCCTCCCCATCCCTGAGGTCACTGTGCTTCCCATCTGGGTTTCCCCACCGTCGTCCTAAAGACCACACCACTCTCTTCGCCCTTTGCCCTCACCCAGTCACAGCGCCCTTCCTGGACCTTCCGTCGGCTCCCTGGCCTCCCTCCCCTGCCCCTCACTTTCCCAATCAGTGGTCTCCTCATCCTCAACAGGTTCCCGGAGGCTGACAGCCAGCACCAGGGCCTGCAAGAGGCCAAAGAGGCAGGCGAAATGCAGGGGGTGAGCAGTAAGCAGGCTCAGCACAGCATGGAGCCCATGTAGGGCAGCCAGGAAACACAGCAGCCCGTGTAGCCAGAGGCCCACAGGTCCTCGAAGGCCCAGAGCGTCCAAGATAGCTCGAAGTGGCCTGGAGCACAGAGCCAGGAGGGCTGAGGCTAGCAGCTCCAGCAGGTGCAGGGTCAAGTTGGTAGAGATCTGCAGATACTCCTCCGGGTCCCGCAGGTAATGTGAGGGATCTCCCGGATCCCCCCGTAGCCAACGCAGCAACTTCTGACGTCGACCGGGCTTCTCCAATAGGGCTTCTGGTCCAGTGGTGCCGAATCCCCCTTGGGGGGACACTCCAAGGCTCTTCATGCCACCTGAATCCACAGACTCCCATTCCCGTTTGGGAATGGCTCCTCCAGTCTCCAGCCTTGCCGGCTCTCGAACACTGGAGACAGTCTTGTCCCGCTGGAGGGAATCCTTTTTTTTGCTCTCCAGCTGGTCCACTTGGAGCTCCCTGCTCAATTCTGGAGCAGCCCCAAGGGTCCTCGGTTTCCCCGAATCCTTGGTCTTGAGAGGCCCCACATCTCCCATTGTCTCTGGGGCACTGTCCCAGTCACTCCCTGAATTCTCGGGGGAGCTGTCCACCCATCTGGGTTCTGGGGCTGGCAAGTCAGCCTTTGTTGATTTCCTGCGGCCCCAAGGTCGAGGTAGCCAGCCACCAAGCCTTCGCAGGAACATGACTGAACTGTGTAATGAGCCCCCCAAATCTGCGACCCCTTCCTGACTCTACTAAAGATTCTCGGGATCTCCTCAGAAGCCGGAATCTGTTCCGGTTCAGAGTAGATATCTGCTTGGAGATGTCGTCCTACTCTGAATTCAGAAAGAGCTCACGTAGCCCCAAGTGTGGCAGATGGCCTGCTTCCTTGTCAGTGGAGGGGAAAAGAAATCCATTTGCCACCCCACACACTCACAAGACTTCAAGGGCCTTATAAGGCCTGGATCTCCCCCATAATGTTCTGTGTTTTCAGATTTCCTTCCCAGCAGTCAGCACCCTAAGTTTCACTCACCAAGGCCACACCCCAAGGTGCCCAAAAAGTGGGGGGAGGTGGTGCTCCATCGAAGAAGTAAGGAAGGTGGCCCAGAGTCCTTCAGTCCTGACTTTGAGGAGCCTTAAACCGCTGCCCAAGGGAGCTCAAGGAACAGGAAGTCTCGGGTGAGAGGAAGACGGGATGCAAGTGTCGAGCGAACTCCAGTTACACACATTCCTTAACTTAGGGAGCGATCGTTCCAGAGTGGCCCACTGTCCCGCGAGGGCGCAGCTGAGACGCGGCCTCCGCAAGGTCAGAACAGGGATGTCCTTGGAGAGCGCAGTCGCGGGGCTCAGTGCAGGCCTCGCTGGGGACCCAGGCGGCTGGGCGCTGCGCGCTGCGGGCTGCTCTGGGGCCCAGCGTCCGGAGAGCGGCCTCCCGGAGCCCTGCGAGCCCGGAAGCAGCTGTACCGGGTCGGGAGGGACCGACGGGGGCGGAGCCCCGCAACTCGTGAGGCGGACCCGGCAGAACGACCTCCCCCGTAGCCCCCGCGATTCACCAGCGCAGGCGTAGAGAGGATCGCTTAAGCCAGAACCTGAATCCAAGCCCAGTTCTGCTCTTCACCACCCGCCTCTGACTCGGTGCTTCAGCCCTTGGTTTTTGTTTGTTTTAAAAGACAGAATATCCCTACATATATAGGTCAGGAAAGGCTGGGCATATATAGCCCAGGCTGGCTTTGCATTGGTCCTTTGCCTCTGCTTCCCTAACGCTGCGCTCCCTTCCCTTCGGGCTGCCCTACGGTTCTTCTGCACCGCCCCCGCCACTCCTCCATTTCTCACCTACTCCTGCTGGTCCAGAAAGGTAAATTAACAGGAGCCACGTGACCTAAGCAGCTGCCCTTTGCCCTTCCTGACCGGGATTTGAAAGCTTTCATGTTCCTAGCACTCGGTATGAGCATCCCCAATGGGTGTGGGTGCCAAGTACGAAAGAGAAATGCAGGAAAACGTGCTGTGCTGTTTCCAGGGAGTGAAATGGAGTCTTAGGACAGTCTGAGTTAGGGCTGGAGATGTAACTCTGTAAGCACTTGTGTAGCAGGTATGAAGCCCCAGGTTACATCCCTCATAACGCAGAGATGTGGTGGTGCACACCTTTAATCTTAGCATTCCAGAGGCAGTTGGATCTACATAGCAAGTTCAAGGCCAGCCTGGTCTACATAGCAAGATGAGACTCTGTCTCAAAAGAAAAAAAGAAACTTTGTATTTGGGAGGTCAGAGCTCTGGTCCCAGCTAGGATGGCATACAGGAGGAATAATGTTAGGTCACACTGGGCAGTCCTGCAGGTCTCAGACTGCCCTATCACCAGGCACTACATTTAATCACAACTGGCCTCAAGGAGTTCAGAATTTGAGGGTTTGTGGTGTTTTCAGTGTGGGGGGAGCAAAACAGCTTGACCACACAGCTGCCATGACAGGCTTAGAGGCCCAGACACAGCTTCTGTGACAGGCTCACTGGCAGACAACACCAGATCCAGGAAAAGCCTAAGCTGATACCACCCAGGGAGGGCCTACATCTAAGGGGAAGTATCTGTCATCCCAAACATTCCAACCATTAAGATAAGATGGCCAGAAGTCCCTGAGTCTACACCTATTTTTTGTTTTACAGATACCCCTAGATAAATGTCAGCCCATCAGGGTCCTGAACTCTGGAAATCCCCTCACCCCAACCTCTGCTATGATAAAAACTCTACCCTGCCTGAGCTCAGGGCTCTCTGCTCTCACCACTACATCGGAAAGACAGAGGGACCAAGCTTGGAGCTTGAAAACAATGGCTCTTTGCTTTTACATATGAGATTTGTTCCCTGTGATCTGGGCATACCACTCAGCACATAGCAGACTTGGTTTGTGACATGACATACGTCCCTGAATTGACTGGACTGGCCCAGAGACCACTGAGAGGGGAGTCTTGCACAGAGCTGGGCAATACCTAGTCTAGGGGGGTTTCAAAGAACAGATAAAATGCAGCCAGCAAAGCCAGGGATTCTTGTCACCTGGAGAGCTTGCCCTTTTGGCTCGGGTGAGGCTTTCATGGGACCCAGATTTGCTCCATTGCTCTACAATATCATGCAAGAAAGTAAACAAATCAGGTGTAGGAAGTTTGTTTATCTTTCAACTCTCAGCTCTTCTCTCTAAAAGCAGAGTCCAAGAGCCAAAACCTGAGGGTCTGGCATCTGGGCGGAACCCAGGAAGTAGAAGTCCAAGAGCCCACGTCAGGGTTCCCAGTCCAGTGAGTAACAGGCCAGACGGCGTCAGTCAGAATTCAAGGTTCATGTACAGCCTCAGATCTCGCTCCCAGGCTCTGTCCTTCTCTTCTCTCTTTCTGTTCTCCCTCTGACTCAGTGTGGCAACTCGAGGTACTCTCTCTCTTCCAGACACAGCCCGGGTATCCCGAGCTGGAAAATGTGTGACTCGGGGCTGGGGTGCAGATCTATAGCCCAATCCTTCCTGGTCCCGCTTGAGGATAGTGGGAATAGGGTTGGCACGGCCTTCACCCCGGGGTCCCAGCCCCATTCCTGGTTCCCAGCCACCCCTCAGCAGCAGCCTAAAGCCAGGACTGGAGGTGGGCACCCCAAGGGGAAGGTTGGAGGGCTGGGGACCCCTGGACAGCGACAGCAAGTGAGCAGTAGATGTACGGTGGTTGGAGTCCTCAAAGTGGGCACCACAGTCCTCACAGAACTGGGAGGAGGAGCGGGGAGACCTGCAGAGAAAGAAAGAAGTTACAGGGAGTGGGGGAAGGAGGGACCTGAAGCTCAGCTGTCAGGCCCCTGGCGGAGCAGGGCAACACACCTCATGCCTTCCTTCTAACTTGGTGTCGTCATTTGTTTTATCCTGCATTGGAGAGGGACCCCAGGGTCTCCCCAGTGTTAGGCAAGTGCTCCAAGCCCCTCTCCATCTGTCCAGAAGGGACAATTTAGGATACTGTAAGATAGGCCTCAAGCTCTTAGGGATAGTAAGCAGAGCTGACTTGTTCCATCACTTGCCACATTAACCTACCACATCTTAACGACCCTTTGAGAAAGATGCCCTCATCCCCGCTTCTCAGACAAGGCTGAGATTTGCAGACCTTAGGCTGACATCGCAAATAAACAGAACCAAGATTTAAACACACAAAGACCGTGTCCATAACTACTCTATGACAGGACTTAACTAAACTGCAGGATGAAGAGCCCCGTGAGCTGTTCTGGAGCCCCTGGTGTGGGGTGTCCAGGAAAGGCAGAACACAACAAAGATGGTAATGAGCTAAGGCTCCCCCCTCACCGGTTCTGGTTCTCAGGGCTCCGTGCCTCCCCATGACTCTCTCTGACCATGCGAGCGACCTCGGGGAAGCCTGCTTCTTCAGCCAGCTGAGCAGCGTCTCTGCCTCCCAGCTCACAGACTCCTACCCAGGCGGCCCCGCGGCCCAGGAGATAGCGCACAGCAGCCCCCTGGCCTGCTCTGGCGGCACACATCAAGGGAGTCCACCAGAAGGCATCGCGTGCGTTGACATTCCCTCCAGCTCCCCCTGCCTCTCGGGGTTCCAGCAGCTTCCGAAGTTCTGTCACATCCCCATTCTGGGCTGCCAGCAGGATCCACCGGGTCATTCTGTCTTCGTCCTCAAGGGGTCTTCCTTGCCCTGAGGCTCCTGCTGCTGTGGCCACCGCAGCCTCCCCCATTGCTCTTCTTTTCTTCCTCTGTCTTTCCCTGATGGGGCCAGCTCTCTGGGGCCTTGGGGAACTGCTCTCATCTGCAATGAGAGCCTCATAGAAAGCCCGGGCTGCAGCCCCATCCAGGACAGGCTTTGGTTTCTCAAGCTGTGATTGCTGCTGCCCATCCTTCCAGAGGTCGCTGGAGTCAGTGGCTGGAGTAAATGTGATGAGGGATGGCCTGGACATGGGTCTGGGGAGAAATGAGAAAATGAAGACTGGGCAAGGAAAGGATGTGACAAGCACTCCAACCTTTCAGGTAGCCATGGTGATGATCAGTACCGCCTCCCCGGGGCCTGCTGGGATGAGAAAGCAGCCTAGAACTAAAATGGGCCTCCCACCCCAAAACTGACTCCATGACCTAGGATCCTTTAGAGCCCAGGGTTCATGTGTAAAATGGACCCCTAGAATGACAGATCCTGCCCAGATGTTAATAAAATTTCATGAAGGCATAGTAGATAAGGTTCTGTGTAGAATGCTTGCCTCGAATTCGGGAGGTCTGGGTTCTACCTCTAATACAGGAAAGAAAAAAAATAATAATAGGAAAAGATATTCCAGACAGTTGTCTAGGGGTCCTGCGTTCTACTCCCATCTCCCTTCAACCAAAAATGGCAGGCTCTCTCTGAAAACATTTCCCCATCCTGTAACACATACCGTCAGGAAATACCAGCTCGACCTTTTAAATCTTGCTCGATCTTATTTAGGGGTCTCCTTTTCCCAAATAAAAAACAGGAGTAACATTATTCCGGAAGGTTTCGGGGGAAGGTGTTGCACTGTCACTTCCGTACCGCAAAATGGCGCTCTTGTAGTCTGCAAGAGTTGACACCATCAAACATTCACATGGCACAGAGACGCATGCGCAGCAGCAACAACAACAAAACACCCACAAGGTTCAGTTTCCCGCGCTGGAACCTTTCCAAGCATCCGCGTAGAGCATCGCGTGCCCAGACAGCGCGAGGGCCCAGGGGGGCCTGTCGGTTGGGGTCCTACTTTTACATAACGCCCCCACAATGCTGTTCGCCACCCTCGACGTGGTCCCTCCCGCTCCAAGCTCCTTCCCTGGAGCTGGGAGGCCACGCTCTGCGCTTAAGAAAGGCCCTGCGGACACGGAGGGAGGTCCGTGAAATGCCGAGGAGCTGTGAGATGAGGTAACACCGCGGTGCCCCTCGTCACTCCTCTGAGCAGGGTTCGAAGAACACACTTAGGGTCCGCAGAAGAACGCTCCACGCGAGCCCCGGGGACATGGAGAAGTGCAAAGGGACGAGCGGCAGAATGGCTGGCGCCACCTCAGGTTAGCGCGCAGGGCGGCCGTCCAGGTTCTCACGGCGCACGGCTCCGCGCATCCCTCACCACCGAGCCACACCTCTACGCATGCCTGATCCTGAGCGAACTGTGTCGCGGGCCTGACAGGAGAGCCGGGTCCAGTGGGTTGGCCTGGGACCGTGTCAGTCCCCTGGGCGGCAGGGAAGACCCAAGCGGAGCGGTGAGGGAGCGCAGCGGGGACGAAACTGAGCGCTGGCGCCGGCCCCGCAGCCTAGGGAGCCTAAGACTCTATTTCCCAAGCTTCCTGGTCGGGATAGACGCTGTACTTGGCTTCCGCTTCCGGTGGCGCCTCCGTTCGCCCCGCCCCCAGGCGGCTTCTTCTAGGGCCTCGCGACCCCAGAGTCATGCGCGGGGACTCCTGGGATTGGTAGTTCGCCTTTCCCTCATTTCGTCAGTTTCTCTCTCCCGACGGGACTCCATCTCCCGGCGTCCACAGAGGTAGGGGGGGCGGTCCTTGGCGCCTGCGCGTTGCCCTCTTCCCCCCACCCTCACCAGTTTCCACTTCCCCCACCTCCCAACTTGGCCTGCGGCGGTCGGGTCGGCTTCCTGCGCCGTAGCGGACGCTGCCGTTCGAAGCACAACTCCCCTTCCCCGCCCCAGTCCCAGTCCCCGTCCGGCCGGTGAGTCTGGGGTCGTCTCCGGGCCTCGTCGCACGTCCCGGGGCGCGGCGCTTGGTTCTGTGCTCCGAGAGGTGGGGGCGAGGAAGGAAGTGACCGGGTCGGGAGCCCAAGAGGATGGGTGGCCCGAGGAGAGCAGGCGGCGTGTGGGGACGCTCGGGAGTCCCGCAGCAGTGCGGTGCTCTCGCCGACCCTGTGAGGGCAGGAGAGGCCGCTGCTGTCGGGAAGGATGAACTTCGGAAGCCTTGGGACAGGCGCCAGGGCATGCAAGCACCTGCGGCGGCGGAGAGCCGGAGCCCAGGGCCCCGCCGCCGCTGACATGGGGGGGACGGGCACGCCGGGCACTGGGGCAGCGCTAATAGAGCAGGACCTGTCATTCTCTGGAACGCGGAGGGTCTCATTCCCACCACACTGAAAGGGGGCTGAGGTGAAGAGGAGGAGGAGCGTGGAGAGGGATGCTTCGGAGGCTGGAGTCCTCCAAGCCAAAGTGGCCTCGGGTTCCTTCGTCGTTGGGGAGAACGTGTGGGAGGAGGGAAGAGACCAGAAACAGCTTGGTCTCCACTTACGCTCTTCTTTCTCAGCCGACGTAAAGATGAGTAGCTCTGAGGAGGTGTCCTGGATTTCCTGGTTCTGTGGGCTCCGTGGTAATGAATTCTTCTGTGAGGTGAGTTTAGCTTGCCTTCTTGGCCAGCTCCACATGCCCTCGATGTTTTTATTTTGTGTTGTTTGAGATCGGATTTCACGGGAAGCTTACTAGACTGCCCTTGAACTCCTGGAAATTCTACTGCCTCTGTCTCCTGAGTGCTGGGATTACAAGGGTTTGTCACCATGTATGGTGACCATTAGGGAAATTAAAATGTCTCACGTTAAAGTTCTGTAACATGAAAATCACAGTGTGTTAACAGAAAATTACCAATGCCTTTCAGAAACTAAACTTAGCCTTCATGATTCCTGAGTCTTTAGCTCAGAGTCTGATGTCCCCCAGGAAAGGGCAAATCCAGTTCCTAGAGACAAGGGACAGAAGTTGAATGATATCTGTGCACTGTACCTTGTTAGCCTGAGAAGGGAAGAGCTGCGGTTTCTAACGGAGACTGAGTCCCGCAGAAGTGGGAATGGGAAACACAGAGAGCTGATGCAGTTGTTTATCTCTTGGGCCCAGGTGAAAGATGGGATCCCCACACTAGTTTCAACCTCTTGACTTCCCTGTTCCGGTAGGTGGATGAGGACTACATCCAGGACAAATTTAACCTTACTGGACTCAATGAGCAGGTGCCGCACTATCGACAAGCTCTAGACATGATCTTGGACCTGGAGCCTGGTAACCTGCCCCTGGGGTTGTTGTTGAGTGTGGGTTTGGTGGTGATGTGTGCACTTGTGTGTGCTTTCTTTTTCTTCTGTCTCTTGTCTCTTGGGTTTCGTTTCGTTTTGTTTTGTTTAGGGTTTCTCTGGCCTCGAACTCACAGAGATCCACCTGCCTCTACCGCCTGAGTGCTGGGGTTAAAGGCATGTGCCAGCACCACCCAACCACTCGCTTCTGGAATTTCTAAATTTCGTTTTGATTCTCTAGCTCTCTTATCCCCCAATCCCTTGCTTGCTTACTTGTTTATGTGTTTCTCCCCCACCGCTGTCCCCTCCATTCATAACCCACACTGGACTGAACACTTACTCTTCCTGCCCAAGCCTTCAAATGCTGGAATTCTGGCACATAGAACACGCTTGGCTTCTTCATTTTGGTTCCCTGCCTGACTCTTGCCCTGTGGGACTGGTAACACTTGTTTCCATGCTCTCTGAGGTAACTCAACTCTGTGTCATAATGCTAGCTTCCTCATGGGTCTTGTGTACCGCTTCTTTCCTCCTGCCTGTCTAGAGCGCCACCCTCTGCATTTATGTGTTTATATTTATGTATTGGGAAAGGAAGGAAGCAGGCTGAGACTGAAGAGGTAGGGAGAGAGGGCAGTACTGAGTGGTCTTGGGTTTGTAGAAAGGTCAAAAGCCCAGGTTTCTGGGTCAGATGCATGGGTGATAGACAGGGTGAGGCCCAGAAACAGGTGCTAGATAAACTGTAGGTGGCCGTCTTGGGGATAAGGTGGGGTTACAAGTGGCCACCCCACCTTTCAGATGAAGAGTTGGAAGACAACCCCAACCAGAGTGACCTGATTGAACAGGCAGCGGAGATGCTTTATGGGTTGATCCACGCCCGCTACATCCTCACCAACCGAGGCATCGCCCAAATGGTGAGGCTCTGCTCCTACTGCTCCTGAGGCAGGAAGGGGAACAGGTGCATGAGTCAGAAGTCTAGCAGAGGAGACAAGGAGAAGCCCAGAGCTGGGCTGAGAATCAGATCCCACTGACGGTCCTGCTGAAGGTATTGTTTTCAGGGAGGGAAATGGAACCATGGACAAGGAGTTTTCAGGGAACAGATAGCAAATGGCCCTTGTGTTCTCCAGCCTGCCAACTTGAGAGAAGGCAGTTGAGAAGTTTGTCTTGACAGAAGGGGCTTCTAGTTAGAAGTGGGAGGCATGGGAGTCGGGAATGAGTTGAGCTGCGAAAGGAACTGCTCTACACATTCACCCACTGGTCCCTTCCATTTTACACACCTCAGTTGGAAAAGTACCAGCAGGGAGACTTTGGCTACTGTCCTCGAGTGTACTGTGAGAACCAGCCGATGCTTCCCATCGGTGAGTGTCGGGAAGCCGGGAAGAGGGGCAGGGGGGAGGAGGGCGCTATCTGGCAGTCCTCCAAAAGGTTAATCTAGTCAGTGCCTGAGTTCTGTGGGAGGTTGGGAAGAGTTGGGGGTACCTAGTCTGCAGCGTCCGGCTATCTCCCAGGCCTTTCGGACATCCCAGGCGAGGCCATGGTGAAACTCTACTGCCCCAAGTGCATGGACGTGTACACACCCAAATCATCGAGGCACCATCACACAGACGGCGCCTACTTCGGCACTGGTTTCCCTCACATGCTCTTCATGGTGCATCCGGAGTACCGACCCAAACGACCTGCCAACCAGTTTGTACCCAGGTGGGGAGCAAAGACAGAGGGTCAAAGAACAACCCAAGGTCTGGCGAGACTTGAGGACAAACAGCCCTTTCTCGAGGCCTGCCTATCCCAAAGTCAGGGCTTTTCCTGCTGAGTGACTGGGGAAGTTTCTTGATTGCTTGTGCCTCCATTTTCTTATCCATGGAGCAGGGATGCTGACATGACTGCCTATTTTTAAATGTGTTGTGGCCCTTGACTATTTAAACAGTGGCTATTGCTGTTGGCTGAGTTGGCCTCAAGGGATCCTTCTGCCTCTGCCATAAATGAGATCGACACAGATTTGGAGCCTTTACTGGGATTCACTCTGTAGCCCAGACTGGCCTCGAACTCACAGAGATCCACCTGCCTCTGCCTCCTGAGTGCTGGGATTAAAGGCGTGCGCCACCACTGCCCGGCTTTAAGATACATTTTTAAGGGGGCCGGAGAGATGGCTCAGCAGTTGAGAGCACTGGCTGCTCTTCCAGAAGGTCCTGAGTTCAACTCCCAGCAACCACATGGTGGCTCACAGCCTTCTTAAAGAGATCCAGTGCTCTCCTCTGGCGAGTAGAGGAGCACGCAGATAGAGCACTCACATTAAAAAGAAAAAAAAAAAAAAGAGCCGTGCGGTGGTGGTGCATGCCTTTAATCCCAGCACTCGGGAGGCAGAGGCAGGCGGATCTCTGTGAGTTCAAGGCCAGCCTGGCCTCCAAAGCGAGTTCGAGGACAGCCAGGATTATTACACAGAAAAACTCTGTCTCAGAAAAAAAGGGGGGCACATTTTCAAGTATTCATGGGGGGAAAAATCAAGTATTCATGAGCAAGGAAGTTAGGGAACTGTTGAGCAGGCATGAGGAGGAGGCTGGGGTAGTCGGGGTGCCAGCGACTGGCAGGGCCAGGAGGGAGCTCATCCTGCGCCTCTCTGACCTCTGCCCGGCCCAGGCTCTACGGTTTCAAGATCCATCCGATGGCTTACCAGCTGCAGCTCCAAGCCGCCAGCAACTTCAAGAGCCCAGTCAAGACGATTCGCTGATCCCCACCCACCTTCCTGTCTTCGACACCACCGGTCCTTTGCTGCCGCCCTTTCCGGAAGTCTATGGTTTTTAGTTTCACTTAAAGGAATTGTTACTGTGGTGGAATATGAAATAAAGTGGAAGAAAAGGCCATGAGCTGGTCTGCTGGTGCTTGGGCTGGGGAAGGGAAAGTGGTAGTGTGCTGGACTCCAGGGACCCTCAGTTGGAAACTGCACAGCTTGATGCTTTGTGGATTTGGTGACGTCAATAGATAGTAGAGTGTAGTATAGTAGATCAGAGCAGCATTCTAGATGGGGGGGGTGGGGTAAAAGATTGAAAAGAAGGTTTCAAAGGCTAGAGGTACATCTGCTCTCTCTTTCTACTGTAGGGCTCATGAGAAGTACTCTCAGTTTTGCTATGAAGGAAATGTAATCCTAAAGTAAACAGAGCTGCAGAGAAGGCAGAGAGCCACAGTTGTTGCTCTGCTAGCTGTGTGCCCCCTGCTGGGAGAGCTGAGCCGTCCATCTGGAGAGGGTGGGGAGGCTTCTCTCTGGCCAACCTCTCCCAGCATAGTGGGAACCAACTCTGTTGTACAGGTGGACAGCAGGTGGTGCCAGAGACAGTCAGTAACCCATGGCCCTAGAAGTGGGGGGTACAGATGTTTTAGGGCATGTCTAGGATGAAGACACCTGATAAAGATCCAGCTGGTGCTCAACTGTTGCCCACATGGAAACCAGACCTTGTGGGTGAGGGAGGACATGCCACTCTTCCTGCGAGTTGATAACTTCCTCCTCCGGTCAGGATCCTCCCCAGGTGGGAATACAGCTCTGTACAGCAGTTCTGCTCAGACGACCTGTCAGAACCATTCTGCCTCAGGATTAAGTAGTGTGGTCCTAGGAAGGTGGGTTTTGGGGGTGTTCCACAGGAGCTGCTCTTCTCCCCAGAATTCCTAATGAAGGCCCATGTGCTTGTAGATGGCTGACCATGGTGGGCTTTGCAGTGGGAAAGGGTGAGGAGGAAGGGTAGAGCTGGGGCCCTGGTATCCTTGAAAATGAGTCCTGGCTTCATCTCATTTTGTCCTCTGCATGCCAAGCTCCGTTGCTGAGATGTCCGTCCCGCCACTTGTGCCTCTCGGAGGACCCTTTGTGGGGCTGCATTTCTGGCTCAGAAAAGTGCACCATCAGCAGTTCATCCCAATCATGGTTATTACCGTCTACCAGTGAGAAGTCCAGGGAAAGGGCCGCTGGTAGAACGGTGTGGCTTCTCCAGCATGAGGGTTGTTAGGATCTTGGAGGGGTGTGTGTGTGCAGACAAGTGAGTGAATTTTTATTTTTATCCTCTTCTGAAAGTATATAGGATAAAATCTGGACTGCATGAATGCTGGGGAGAGTTAGGTTTGGGGACTGTGGTAAGCTATAACAGCACTGTAACTATCCCCTCCCCTCTAGATGTTAAGGTTCGCTTCCATGTATGAGGCTATGAACAGTATAATTCCTACCTACCCCTGCAAAGAAAAATGCATCACCTGCTATAAGGCTGACTGCTGCCAGTACAATTACTGCAACTCCTGGTCCAGTACCCAGCTCTAGAGCACTCTGCTGGGCCCCTGTCTGGTTCCCAGACAGACGGGTTCTACTAGGCCCTGAACCTCTCCTTGTCCCTGCCTGGCTTCCATGCTCATAAGGCGCCTGAGAGCCCAGACCCGTTCACCCTGCTCCTGTAGCTGGGTGTGTCCATAGCCATCCTGCACCAAATGTGCTTGTTCCTCAACAGTTCAGGACTTCCTGTTCTTCCTCAGACAAGACCCGGACGTGTTCCCTTTCCCAGATTCTGCTCTGCAGTCCTTAAACACTGGACTCCTCTGATCCCTGTATTCTAGGCCTTCTCTGCATCCCCAGGATGGCACCTGGGTTCGGGTGCTGGCTTGTCTTTCCTCCTGTCCAAGAACCTTGAGTATGGCTTCTGCTCGGGCTGACCTGAGAATGGTTTCCATCCTGGGTGTCACTGTCTTCATGTACCCTCAGTCTGGTCCTCAGTGCCCCATCCACTCAGAACTGGCTCTTTGTCCTCTGTCTTATGCCAGTCTCTGAGCCTCAGTACCAGGCTTCAGCAGGAAGGGCCAAGGGTGGACCAGAAGTCCTGGCAGATTCCTGGCATGGCAACCTGTCTCAGTGTCCTCACCATCCTGGCCTGCTGTCTCCTTGACCGCCTCTCTTCACCTAACTGCATGCTGGGAGGAGGGGAGGCTATTCTGCTTTCCATACAGCCCATGTTTCCCCCCGTGATAAACAAGACTAGGCTAAATCTGTGTCACTGTGTGTGGAAGGGAGGGTCAGGTTCAGACGTGGGCCGGTGTAGCCAGGTCAAAGAATAGGTGTGGGATTCAAACAGGACCGCCAAATCCTGCCCACTCTGTTTGGTCTTCATGGCTTCCTCTCACATCGCCCTGAAAGGCCATGTCCTTCCCCTCCCCACTTTAACCTTCAAAACCTGGAACATTAAGTCCATGTGGTGCTGGGTTTTCACCTGAGGAGAAACTCAGTCCACATCCACGTTGAGTTCAAGAGTCCTGGCACCTTGCGGTGTATGTCGTATGCTCGAGACTGCAGCTGTTAAATCTCCATTTTAGTATTTGGGGATTTCTTAAGGTCTCCTGACTCTCCTGCCTCTACCTTTAAGAGCTAGGATTGTTACAGGTGTGTGCCACCACACTAAATACTGAGAAATTTGGGCCAGGCATGGTAGTGCACACCTGTTGTGGGAATTCTGCCCTTCGGTCCAATAGCCTATAATAAAGGGCAGCTTGGCCACATGGGTGGAGTCTTCATTAGAGAGCCTGGGACCTGAATACGGGATAAAAAGCCAAAGCGCGCACGTGACCACTCTCTTGGACTGGAGGGATTTGGCGAAGCCACAGAGAAGTGCAGCTTGGTGATCCCTATGGCCTGTTGGAAAGGAGCTCTGGGAGTAGCCGATAGTTGTTACCCCAGCATGACCAGCGGGACAGCTGCTATGCAGCCCGGACTCTTCTTCGTGACCTGTAGTTATTGTGCAAGGATTCCGTCTGTCAGTAATCCTCCCTCATTACACACTTAATCCCAGCACTCAGGAGGCAGAGGCAGATGGGTCTCTGGGTTTGAGGCCAGCCTGGTCTACATAATGAATTCCACGACAGCCAGAGCTATATGATAGATCCTGTCTCAAAACAAACAAAAAATAATAAACATTGAAATATTTCAAGCACAGAGGAAGCGCTCAGGGGTGCTTATGTGTCAATCTATTATGTTCATTCAAGAGTGGACGCTAACATCAGCCAGGCTTTAAGCACCAGCACCCTCAGGTGAGCTCAGTCAGGCTCACACCTCAGTAACAGGAGCTCTGTGGCTCCAGGTGTGCTCTCCTGACCCCCGCTGCCCAAGTCAGTCAGTCCTGTAGTCTGGCTACCTGTGCTGGAGGTGGAGCGCCTCATGATTGGGAAGACGGGTGCACGGGTGTGTGTACTTATGGACAATTGTACATAGAGATTCTGGTTTTATTTTGACATGGTCTCTAGTCCAGCCTGGCCTTGATTACAAGGCAAGGCTGCCTCAGCCTTTGCATACTGAGAGTAGGTACATGAGTCACCATGCAAGCAGCCTATTTTGTAAACCTTCCCAGCAAAGCACAAGCTTGAGGTCTTTGCCAGCACCCAGAGCTGCCTTCGTGTCCCTCGTGGTGATACACACTGTAATCCTAACACTGGGAGACTGAGGAAGGAGAATCTGGAGGTGGGGGCCAGTAAGGGGTATACAACACGCACCCCTAAAAAAAGGAAAATCCACACTTTCCTCCCCAGATTTACACTGCTCTAACTGGTCAAACTGGGAGACAGGTTTAGGAAGGGACACTAAACCTGGGAGTGGGAAAGCAAGGTTCCCTGGGGCCTGCTGTCCCCTCCCTATGCCCTTCTGGGGCGCCTCTCCTCCCTGGGTCTGCCTCATTGCTCATATCCTACATCCTGCCAATATGGCCTCTGGGCCTCTCAGTTCGTCCCCGTCCCCGTCCCCGTCCCCGTCCCCCCGTCCCCCCCCCCCCCCCCCCCCCCCGCCCTCCGCGCGCGCAGCTCTGATAACGCCTCTCAGGATGCTTACTAACCTAACCAACCTCCACTATATAAGGGCATCCAGTTCCTCTTCAGCTTTATGTGTCTAGAGCCGAGTTAGCGATGTCAAGGCAGGGTGGTAGAGGAGCCCCTTAATGGGGCAGTCTGGCCCAGTTTCCAAGGCCTTCACCTCCATCAGAAGAGACAAACACTTTGCATACTAGTTTATTTTGAGGGAACACCTGGAGACTTTGGACAGGAGAAGGAGCCAGGCAAAGTAAAGGTGGGAGAGTGGGGTATGGATGGAGAAGAGAGGCCAGGAAGGGGCCCCCGATGTGAGAGGCAGGGAGGGCTGCTGTGAGAGCTTTGGAGTTGTCCTGGCTGGGCCCAGATGGAAATCCAGAGTGTGTCTGGACACAGCAAGGGCTCCTGCTGCCCTAGTGCATAGTGGTCTTCCTGTTTGTTGGATTGTTGCAGAAATCCAGGAAGCAGCATGGTTAGACTATCCAAAAGCCAAACACCAGGGAGGCGGGGGTGCATGAACAATCGTTCATCTGCTCCCTGCTGCGGCAGTCACTCACCATGATGTTAAAACCGCTGCCGAGGGAAGGCCCACAGGTCCAGAGCCTCCCAGTCCATCCTCAGTCCACATAGCTATCATTATCACCCTTCTACGCTTCCTTGGACCAATAGAAAGCCGCTGGACGGGTGTGGGGCCGTCTGGTGAGCCACCAGCAATGGAACTTTGAAGCTGTTCACGGAAGATTTGAGGGATTTGATGTTCTAATGTGGGTTGGGGAGTGGAGTCTGGGAGTCAGGGCTTGAGGAGAAGGATGGGGAGTCCAGCATCGTGGGGCCATTACGAGAAAGATATGGAGGGGGGGTATTAAAGGTTGGGCTGCAGAAAAGCACTGGGTGTTTTCTGCAGCAGAAGAGGGTAGAGCAGTGATCGGTGCCTCGGCGGTTGGATGCAGGTGCAAGTCCTGGGTACAGCTCCTAGCCTGGGAAGATGGCCCAGTGGTCAAGAGTGCCTACTGCTTTTGCAGAGGACCTAGGGACCCTGTCTCAAAATGCCAGATAAAGTGTGCACAAGCCAGGCCTGAAGGCTCATACCTGAAATCCTAACGCAGGGGAGGCTGAGGTAGGTAGGAGGATCAGGTTTGAGGCCAGCCTGGGCTGCATGGTGAAATATTTTAAAAATATCTGAGAGTGTAGTGGCAAAGTGCTTGTCCAGCACGCTCCAGCCTGGCTTCTACCCACAAGTCCTGCAGAAGAAGGAAACCATGTAACCAAAGGCCGTGAATGAAGACAGCTTACCCGGTCTACTATCAACAGCATCATCCCGGCCAGGCCTGTGATCGAAACACTCAGGAAAAGGAGGCAAGTGGATCACAAGTTCAAGGCTAGCCTGGGCTACACAGTGTAATTCTGGACCTAAAATAAAAGAAAGGGGGCTGGAGAGATGGCTCAGAGGTTAAGAGCACTGGCTGCTCTTCCAGAGGTCCTGAGTTCAATTCCCAGCAACCACATGGTGGCTCACAACCATCTGTAATGAGATCTGGTGCCCTCTTCTGGCGGGCAGGGACACATGTAGGCAAAACACTGTATACATAATAAACAAATAAATCTTTAAAAAAGAAAGAAAGAAAGAAAGGGAACCATGTCTGGAGCCACCACTAATTCTGACTTGGCCTGTGATATTCTGGCAAGCCTTTGGATCTTCCTGCACCCGGTTTTTTTCTGTTAAATGGGAGCAGTAATGCCCACTTCAGAGGCTACATCAGCTCTGCTGTGCTTAGCGCGCTCCACGCAGTCCACATTGAGTATCTATTAACTTAATAGAGGTAGGAGGAAAGGAATGCAGTCCATCCTCCATGCAGGAAATGCGGTGGAGGCGTCCGAATGCATGCCTGGAGATGAGGAGAGCACTTTGGTGAACCATTTAGACCCAGGAAGAAGTCTGAGGCTGCTGGTGAAAGCCAGGCGAGCAGGTAGGATCGACGGTGATGTGAGAGCAAAGGACCGACCAAACCTCCTGAACATGAGCCCGTAAGGGTCAGCAAGACAGGGCAAAGAGCAGTGATGCTGGCCACCGAGGGAAGGCCGGTGCCTCTGGAGAGCCGAGGGCCCTTCAAGGCTGGGCACTGCAGGAAAGTGGGAGGCAGTTGGCTATGGGCTGAGGAGGAAACGGGAGTGGGAGTGGAGACAGGTGGTGGTTCTGACAGAAAGTGCTGGAATGTCTTAGGGCTGTGGGAACAAGACACAGTGTGCAGCCTAGGAGACTGGGAAGAGGCCTGTGGGAGCGGGCCCACGGTGGGGGAGGGGCCCATGGTGGGGGAGGGGCCATGGTGGGGGAGGGGCCATGGTGAGGGAGGGGCCCATGGTGGGGGGAGGAGGGCATCCATGGTGGGGAGCTGGCCCTGGGTGGGAGGAGGTGTCCGCTCACTGTTCTTTCCGTGCAGGGCCCTAAGATCCTGGCTTGGGGAAGGAACCCGGCAGGGCCCATCCTGTTTGTTTCCTTTCCTGATGCTCTGATAAAACACCCTGACAAAAGCAACTCAGGGGAGAAGCATTTATTTTATTTGTTTTGTTTTTATTTTTTAAGACAGGCTCTATGTAACCCTGGCTATCCTGGGACTCACTGTAGACCATGCTGGCCTCATACTCAGAGAGCTCTGCTTGCCCCTGCCTCTCAAACACTGGAATTAAAGGTGTCCCATGCCTGGGAAAAGGGTTTATTTTAGCGCATTATCCCAGGTCACAGTCCATCACCACAGGAAGCCACAGGGACAAGAACTTTAGAGACCCGGCCATATTGCAACCACGGTCACGAGCAGAGAACACTGAATTCCTGCACGTATGCTGGTGGGCACTCTCTTCTTTCACCCCCACCC